AAGAGGAGATAAGCTTTAAGATGACTCCAATCCTAAATCTCCACAAGTATTACAAATGGGACAATGTCAAGATGAATTGTGAGCCAGTCACACCTCCTACCACACCACCTTCAAGCCCCGAAATAGAGTGGTTCAATATGGTTTGCCATTTTGACAACCATGATACTCAAGTCGAAGGAGGGAGTGATTTTGCAAAAATATGAAGAAACCGGGCAAAGAGAAACCTTCTTGCAAAATATAAACCCAAGAGTTGTTCAAGCTTTCTCATCTCTTGGGTGATCATTGAAGAAAGCTCCGAAGTTTTATATTTGAAGAGAGACATCGTAAGAAAGGAAACCAATTTGTTAAGGGCGAATTAGCTCCTATTCTTTAAAATGGAGATTTTGGGCAATGCTACAAACCATTCACGGATAATGACATCTCTATTAAGGAGCCTCACCCTCACCATCTTGCAAATCAATTCTCAAATGGATCCTTTCTATCTCAATCATCGGCCGAGGCATCCAAGAGACTCCATGGTCTTTCCCTTGTACTACACCACAAGTATGACTTTTACGAAGGGTCATCGGTGAAGAATGGAGGAATCTCCATTCGATCTCAAGGAGGCAAGTCTGTCGAAATTTTTTTTAAAGACGCGCTTGTTGGTAGGCAACTGAACACTTTGGTTTGCGTATCTTTTCCCTTTCCTTTTCTTTTTAATTAAATAGTCTCCTAGTTAGTACATTAGAGATGCATTGAGATTGATTGATATGACTTAGCCTTTCTTTTGGATGCTTGATTGAATGTTTGGATGAATGCTTGAAATAAGAGAAGTGGAGAAAATGAGTTGTCCTGTATAGGGAAAAGATCACGGTTGTCAAGGCAAAGATCGCGACCGCGATCTTGAGTTCCCAGCCTGCGATATTGCCTGTCCCTATTTAAGCATTGGCAGCCTCTTTAGATCTAAGTGCATTTACTTCCTCAACCATTATCTAGATCTATATGCCATTACTCTCCAGCTCTCTTGACTTTTTGAACCCACCTTCTTTAATATCATCTTTCCACAACTTTTGAGAAAGATTTTCTATTGATTTGGATTCCCACCATGTCCCCTAGCAAGATAAAGTACATTTTTCCTAGTTTGACTATTTAATTGTCTTATCTTGCCCAACATTTATTGATTGCTTAGAGTCTTTAATGCCCATTTTCTACATGGAATGACATCTTGGTGGCATAAGATTTTTATTTCTTTTCTTTAGTGAGCCCTCTATGTCACTTTTGATTCCTTGGTGGGTTGTGCGCATGCATTTATGTCATCTTCATCTACCACCCACCAAGTGTTTGTGATGCATTGACGAATCAAGCATCGCAGCACAAGAACGATAAATAAACTAAAACAACTAAATTAGGGGTTTTCTTCTTCATTGATTTCTAAAATGTAGAAACGAAGTACATATTTATAGGACAAGACCTTAAACCTAATGCTACTCGGTTACATACTTGGCCGCCACTCTACGAAACTCTTGCATACTCTCACCCTTTCTTACGTAACTAGACAACCCATTACCCAAGGCCATGTTAATTTCTTAAGCCCACTAAGAATACAACTAAACCAAACCCCTTAACCTGACCCAGTATACTAATAAAGTTATAATGTAACAATCCTCCCCCCCTTTGAAGGACTTCGTCCCCGAAGTTCAAGCGACATCTCAAGCCGGATCGATGAAAAAGTTGTTCACAATAGTGAAGAGAATGGATGTTCGTTGACGCCGACCTTGTTTACGGAACTTCCAATTACGCCCGGGCACTAAGAAAAATCCAACGTTGATAGTCCCCTCGATCGCCAACACCAATCCTCCTTCCAACCCAGTTCTCCCATGCCCCTCATGAATCACTTTACCTATGTCATGTAGGATGTTATTATAAAGGAAAACATCTCTTGTCACGTTAGGTAACAAAACACATAATGTTAATTTATTCACGTATTTTTGTACTCATTCACGTCATTTGGTGTGTATTCACGTAATACTATGTTTATTCACGTAAGAGTGTAAGTTATTCACGTAAGAGTGTAAGTTATTCACGTAAATTAAAGTTCAGACTTTTCCCCCTAATAATTTGCATTGGCTATATTTTATGGAATTAAATTTGGATTCTCAATCAGTCTGTAAAAATATGTTGCATTGATCATAATCTACACAATGACATCTATTTTGATATATTTTAACGTCTAAAATTTAATTTTATAATGGCGTAAATTAATAACAATATGCGTGAATAAGCACCAGGTTGCGTGACTAAACAATATAATTGCGTGAATAAGCAACACTCTTACGTGAATAACGTCAATATGGCGTGAATAACACAAATATGGCGTGAATTAGGTTAACGTGACAAGAAACTTGATTATAGTATAAATGGACTTGGCCAAGCAAAGTTGATTCTCATACACCCCCAGCAATTCCCCTACAGATCCGAACCTCAAATCAACCATTTGCATTCGGTCACTTCCACCATGGGTACAATCTTATCCCTCAGCTAGTGATTCATGGCGAGGTAACTTACCCAACATACGTAGCTCACTGCCAATCCATTATGATCAGCGCCGCACTCGGGCTTCATCCACTCCGGAACAGCGTCTTCTTACCGTAGTCCGACTAGCGCTATGCGCTCGTTCGGAAGTCTCAGGCCCGCTATAGTTCCTTCCTCCAGCACTCGCCCGCATACCTCAGATCCAGCCGCCTTTTGAACATGTCTCACATGGGAGAGTGATCCTATTGCACCGGCTCCGAAACTACCCCGAACTCCTCCACCTTCGTGCTCCGATCTTCCCACAGATGATTCCAAACTTGTGGCCTGGGCTCCATAAATTGGTTGCTTATACTAAATCTCGTGGTAACAATGCTATTGTTGCTAATATCGAGTTTGGGGGGAGAATATTGGGAGCAAACTCTTCATTAGCAAACTGTGGGGATTGACTGTGTGATAGCAGCATTAGATAGTAAGCAGTCGAGACTAATGCATTGGTTGAGATTGCAGGAAGAGTAGCTCACCTTTTATGCAGATTACGCAAAATCAAGATGGAAAGGAATGTAGCTCAATAAAGCTGTGCAATCGCCAAAAAGTTAACCAATTAGCACAATACATGTTGAGCCATCCAATGTCCACAGCAGCAAGTGATCTGCTCGGCATAAAAAAGGATGGAAGGAGGAACTTTCCTAAGAGAGTAGATACACAAATCAGAGGCATTCAAAGACAAGCTGTAGCTTACCATTCCTCACGTGATTCAGAATCTGGTGAACATGGAAAAGGAGCTGAAGGCAACGGTCACAAGGTAGAGAGTATATAAGGGGCTCTTGGGTAGATTGATAGGCAGACTTTTCGGAAGAACAGAATCAAAGAGTGCAAAGGGGTTTTGCGAGTGATTTTGAGAGAAAAGTCATCACAGGAGTCAGGGAGATTTCTAGGTTCTGATATTAGGGAAATATCAGGGTTTCTATCAGCTGGGTAGCCGATGGAGAGTGAGCTTCGATCAAGCGGGGAGCTGATCGAACGGGTTTGTGTGATTCTATAAATTTGAGAACTTCAACGTAAAATCATTAGTGAAACGTCGGAGATCGTGCATTGCGACTCTTTGACCGTGGAGTAGTCAGTATTGGGATCCTTATTCTTTCAATACTGGAAACCATGTAAAAATGGTGTCGTGTTCCATTTTAATTTTCCAGTCTTGCTACTGATTGTGTCTTTGTGCTTGCGTGCTCTGTTTCGGTTGATATCTGCAGGGGAACTTGACGTGGACTTGAGAAAGAAACGGAAGATCAATTAATCATCGGACTAGTTCTGTGAATAGAATACACATGCTGCAATTTTCTGGGTTTACGCTTTTGTGTTCTTGGTGTTCGTCCTCTGTTCTTGAGGATACTCGACGAACAACCAGCTGGACAAGTGATCTCTATTAAACTTTGCTTTGGTTTGGTACATCTTAGTAAGACGGCAACGTTTTTTATTCAATTGGTTGGTGATTAAAGTTTTGTGGTCCAGCTCAAACTTAAGCAGGCCTTTATTAAGTTTTATAAGGTTGGGCTTAAGTGGTCTTTGAGCCCAACGTACTAACCCAGTGCAGCTCTCGTAAAACAAGCAGAAGGGTCAGCCATATCGAGAATCTTTCTCGATCAAAACCTTCTTTCTTCCCAGTGTGTTCATGTTCTTGAGTTTTCAATTCTCGATCAAAACCTTCTCTCTTTCTTCCCAGTGTGTTCGTGTTCTTGAGTTTTCAATCCAGGGTTGGAGATATCAAGGAAAGGGCAAATTAATCGAGTTAAAGAAACAAAGTAGGGGAATCGTCTCGCGCTCGACGCACCAACAACTTACCCCATATTCGGAAGTCTCAGGCCCGCTTGAGTTCCTTCCTCCAGCACTCGCCCGCATACCTCAGATCCAGCCGCCTTTTGAACATGTCCCGCACGGGAGAGTGATCCCATCGCACCGGCTCCGAAACTAGACCGAACTCCTCCACCTTCGTGCTCCGATATTCCTACAGATGATTCCAAACTTGCGGACTGGGCTCCATACAATAGGCCGCCAACTAGTCCTCCCATTCTTGGTCCGATACAGCCGCGAACCGGACCTTGGCTTCCCGCGATGCCGCGGCAACTGTCTCCATCCTTCACCGGCTTCTTTCAAAATTTACAATAGGCCAATTACCATGCAGATGAGTTTGAGTGCTTACCAACATCAAGACGGGTTCCTCCCAACCTTCCTCCAATCACATCGACGTTGATAGAGGAATGGGACTCTCCGCTCACGATGGTAATGGTAGGCTGCTGCTTCCCTAGTTCAATACATGTTGTAGCATAGAGGGGAGTGGCCGGCTCCTCTTTACAAGGCTTGCTTAGTGACGCGGCTTGGCGAAACAGGAGCAGTAATGCCCTTCTCCCTGACCTTAGCGACGGCGACCACGACCGCAACGACATGATCCGCATCCTGCAGCTTCGTCAAGGATGGCGTGGTTGTTGTGGGAATCATCTCTTCTTGGACTGTGGCAGTAGCGGCGGCCTGCATGATGACGGTAGGGCTACAGTTAGCTCCTCGACTTCGGTGGTGGTCCGGATCATCGATTTGCTGATTGCTGTCGTTGCTGATGTGCGATCAGCCTGGGCGTCCTTGTAGGTAGTGAGGAAGCTCTTGCGGATATTTCTTAGTTCTGGTAGCATCTTCTCCCGGAATTCCTCCTTGGAGAGTTGTTCCAGTTGTCGTTCCCTTTCTTTCGCGTCACTCTCGACAGTGGCGTCCTCCTGCGGCTTCCATGACGACATCAAGGCTCGCCCTTCTTTTGGAGAAACAAGGACTGATGGGTTGTTGGCACCCTCCATTCGATGCTCCCAGTACGGCCGCGCATCAGGAATCACTTAGACGGAGCTCTCGAAGTCATGGCCTTGGAGGGTATATTTTTATCAAAGTAACGCAACAAACAATTAATCCGAAGATTGATTAAACTCGAATTAAGAAAAACGCGTTGTTAATACGAAAATTGGATAAAACAGAACCAACGGACAATTCCACACTTGGGGAAAGCTCGTACGGTATAAAAAGGGTAGCTGCTCGAAGATGCTATGCAGCCTTTTTTCCTAGGCAGAATTGCTTGTGTTTTAAGTCAGTTTCTTGGCCTGCAAGTTACCTTGTTTTACACGAATTCTTTAGCCTTTTCCTGTTCTAATTGGTTTCCTTGTTAGTTTGGAATTGTATTAGGTTCTCTTGGGCTATAAAAGGCCTCTAGTTTTCGTTGTAATAATTAGACTTTGATTAATCGAAAAACAAACCTTTTGGTTTTGTGCAAGTTGCGTTTTGTTTGAGTTTGGTGGATTCTAAACTTGTGAGTTTTGTATCGATTGATTCGAACTCAACCAATGCCTTTCCTTTGTAGACGAAAACTCTCTCTTTCACCACCAACTTGAAACAGCCTGAGATCATGCTCCAATCTCCAGATATAGGCCTTGAAAGTTGGTATCTCAACACAGTTTTCTGCCTTAACCATTTTCTGCCAGTTTTCCAGTTTTGAGGTTGCAACTTGGAGGCCTTCGAAAACAACCTTAATGACCTTTTCTTGAGAAACCAAGCATACCAATGTGTAGATAATCATTCCATATTCAACACAAGCCATTAAACTTGAATTTCCATTGAGCCAATTAAGACAAACGTGCCTCCAAAATCGGCTACTTGAACACGGAAAATGACTTGGACAATTTTCAGCTTCTTCTCTTCAATTCGACTTGGCCTCTTTGACGATTAATCCTGGATGGAATTTGATCGATTCCAGGATCGTATCAGGCTCCCCCTCTTCAAAAAGTTTTGACCTCAAAGCTTGAAGCTTCCTTTCGTTAAAATCTTCGCAGAATTTATTCGAAACTGGATCGAAAGTAGCCTGCTCGAACATCTATTTCCGCACCACTTTGGCAGCTTCAATCTCATCATCAATCGCATCTAGTTGTGTTGGTGCTTGCAGTGTCATTTGGAACGCTTTGTGTGGTTGAATAAACCTACTTTGACCACCAATTTCGCCGAATTTCGTTCCGAGCAATTTCCAGGTCGTCGGACAGCAGTGTGACACTCGTTCTTGCTCGGCACAATTGGGGGTTTGCGGTTCAAGTATCCCCCATCCAATTCAAGCACTCCAAACTCTTCTCCAGGCTTCCAATTGAAGTTATGGTCCATGCCCAAGTCCCGAAGCATCGCCATTGTCTTCAATTCGTCGAGTTCCCTCTTTCCGCCGTCGGCCGAGTTTGAATTTCGCAAACACAGAATTTCGAATTCGGGTATGGGCGTTTCTGATTCAAGCTTTGTCGCGGCAAATTCAACACTCCTAAAGCTTACTGGGACGTCCTTTAATGAATCTACATCGCCAATTTGGCTCGATTTGAGCTGGATCGCTCTACCCACGAGAGGGTCCTGGTCGGCCGTTTGCTTCACGAACAGAGGTATTTTCGTGTCATTTTATTCCCCAAATTCAGGTACGGTTGACTCCATTGATGCATCTTCTGACGTTTCTGGGGTCGTGAGGATCTCGTCGGCACCATTTGTGAGTTACGACTCATCCCCCAGAGTTCCAACCCATTCATCCTCTCTCCTGCCCTGCTCCGCGGAAACATGGCAGAGTTTCGGAGTGTTTGTCGATTGAAGAACTCGGACTCCGTTAGCTCGCACGGTCGCTTCTACTCGCCTCTCATTTGTTCCTTCATCGTCTACAGGCGCGTTTCTAGCCGCTTCGTTCGCCGGCGTAGCCTCTTCGTTGTCGACAGAACTGCCGCAGTCGGAGCTCTGTTGCGTCACCGAAAAACAGGGGCGGCGAGCTGTTGCGGTTTGCCCGACTCGACGCCCTTCTAGAGCAGTCAACATGTAGCGTCGAGCTACGAAACTGCTTCCAATCTCTTCCTCTGTCTTCAGGTTACATGAATTACCACTCTCCTTTGCCCGATTCAGTGCCATCTGCTGCTGATCACCTTAAACTTCTGCTGGCGACAAAGGTTTGAGCAAAAATGTCCTTCCTACGTGTCTTACCTTGTAGCTATTGCTCCGGCCATCGTGAGATACGTTCCTATCGAATTGTCATGGTCTGCCCGGCATAAGGTGAGCTACATGCATCGGTGCTACGTCGCAAACGATTTCATCCTTATAAGAACCGATTTCAAACGTGACTACTGCTTGCTTGGCGACTCTCACGTCGCCATACTCATTAAGCGATCGCAGTGAATAAGGCTGCTCGTGTTTCGTCGTGCGCAAACCAAGCTTTCTTACCGCCTCGATGCTGATCACGTTGGTGCAGCTCCCGGCGTCCACAACGACATATAGCAACTTACCTGCGAGGAGACAGCGTGTGTGAAACAAGCAGTCCCTTTGCTCTGTTTCTGTTAGAATTACAGTAAATGGGGGTACTTGACGAGTTGCTTCGGGAGAACGACTTGTAGAACGAATCTCCTTCCCAACGAGCTGCTTATCACCCATGTTTTGTCGATGTTTGAGTTACCTTGCCATCACAATTTTTCCAAAGAAACAAAAATCAAAACAGAATCTGCTCCTCTCTGTTTTCCAACAGATTGTGAAATTTGTACAAGGCAGAACAAAACCTCTTATCTTCTTCCTCGCCCGTGAGTTGAACAGGGCTCTGATACCACTTAATACGGCCCTGGAGGGTGTATTTTTATCAAACTCACGCAGCAAATAATCAATCCGAAGATTGATTGAATTTGAATTAAGAGCAACGCGCTCTTAATATGAAAATTGGATAAAACGGAACAAACGGACAATTCCACACCTGAGGAAAGCTCGTATGGTATAAAAAGGGTAGTTGCTCGACCACGATTGAAGAGAATATTCAATCGATACAAAGCTCACAAGCTTGGAATCCACCAAACTCAAACAAGTCGCAACTTGCACAAAACCAAAAGGTTTGTTTTTCGATTAATCAAAGTCTAATTATTACAACGAAAACTAGAGGCCTTTTATAGCCAAATAAAACCTAATACAATTCTAAACTAACAAGGAAACCAATTAGAACAGGAAAAGGCTAAAGAATTCGTGTAAAACAAGGTAACTTACAGGCCAAGAAACTGACTTAAAACACAAGCAATTATGCCTAGGAAAACAGGCTTCATAACATCTTTGAGACCTTTGAAAGTGTTCTTCTAGGTTGATTCGAACTCAACCAATTCCTTTCCTTTGTAGAAGAAAACTCTCTCTTTCACCTCCAACTTAAAACAACATGAGATCATGCTCCAATCTCCAGATATAGGCCTTCAAAGTTGGTATCTCAACACAGTTTTCTGCCTTAGCCATTTTCTGGCAGTTTTCTAGTTTTGAGGTAGCAACTTTGAGGCCTTCGAAAACAACCTTAATGACTTCTTCTTGAGCAACCAAGCATACCAATGTGTAGATAATCATTCCATGTTCAACACAAGCCATTAAACGTGAATTTCCATTGAGCCAATTAAGTGAAACGTGCCTCCAAAGTTGGCTGCTTGACCATGAAAAATGACACGGACAATTAATCCTGGACGATTAATCCTGGATGGAATTTGATCGATTCCAGGATCGTATCATTAGGAATATACTTTCATGGTGGAGGACCTGGATTCAGAACGTGTCGGTGTTGACAAGGAGATTGACTCCCATGTTCTGTCGTATGTGGAGCCTCCAATTCATAGTTTCCCCAGCCGTTTGCGCGGTCCCCAGAACTCCACAAATCTCTCTCGTTCGACGGATCTCTCTGGTATGAAGACTGGTAGGGTGGAAGCGATTGATAGGATGGGATCAGAGAAGATTGCATCCGCGAGGACTGCGGAGGGAATCGTGATTGGCGGTTGGACGAAGATCGAGGGTGACAGATATTTTCAAACCGTTATTCTTCCTCCAGAAGATCAAGAAGATCTTGTTCTTCTAGCATATCGCGTATAAACTGATATCGATCAGGCATAGCAACTTTCTACAGTATCAACGGCGTCGTGGTTGCTCGCGGGACCTCTTTCCATCGTTGGTGGTTGAACGTTGGCGATGTCTGCCCTAGGAGCAGCGAGCTTGGTTCTCTCAAACTAGGCTCTTATACCAATTGATTCATTGACGAATCAAGCATTAACACATAAGAACGATAAATAAATTAAACAACTAAATCGTTGGTGAAAAGTCCCTAACCACATAGAGTTCATTATTTGCATCATTTTGGATTAAGCATCAATTTCATTGTATGGGGTGGTGGTCAATGATTATTCCTACATCAATTTGGGGATATCATTCTTACTATTTTCGAGATATTTCTCTATCCAATTTCCCACTTTTGTCAAGTTCTTAGTCACATTCAAGTTTAGAGAAAATTTAGAAATTTCATGATATCTCATTGTTTTTTACCTGATTAATGTTTGATGTTTGGGTTGATGATTTATGCATATGTCTACCACTTGTTTTGAGTGATAATATACAAGACTAAAGACATGACTCATGGAGAGAGCTCATACTCTCAAACATCTCGTCCTCGAGGAAGACCAAGAGGAGCCCGTGCATGAAGGAGGAGAGGTGCCAATTCCCACTTTTCAACGAATTTACCCACCGAGCAACAATGCAAGAGATCATAGAATTAAGGCTATGATAGTGGCCATCCTTCACAACACAACTTCACATTATGGCGTGCATCTACACGATCATTGAGAAGATGACCATTCCGATCGAAGATGTACCAGCCACATTCAACCGCTCCTCCCCTTCTGCACTTTCCCACGATGAAGAAGAAGGACACTCCGAGAAGGAATGAGTTCTAGGCATCCAGGGCGTAAGTTCTATCTTTTCTTTTTCTTCGCTTTTCTTTAATTAAATTAAAACAATGTTTAATTATCTATTTATTTTCATTTTACCTTTCGTACCTTAAATATTATATCGCTAGTAGTAGTACTTATTATATATATTTATCGTACCTATAACTCCTATCCGTCTTCCTCTCTATCTTATGCGCTTTATCGTTGTGAAAACCACCAGGAAGACAGAGACTACACTTGTGAACCTTCACCAACCCACAACCTGACCTATGGTAACATTCACGAACTTTTCTTGGCAAACTCCCACATTGAGGACAATGTGTTGCTCAAGTGTGGGGGGGATTTTTGTGCATGTTTGAATTTTTATCATTATTGATGAAACCGTTTATTGCTATATCTTCCCTTGTTCGTGAATGTAAGACGTTAATGAATGCTTATGGGAATGTATGCTAGTAATCATGCCTTTGTTGTAGTGATGAATGGTGAAATATTAGTGTTTTTCGAACCTTGAATGCACACCCAAATTTTTTCAAATTTGAGGGTTCCAAAAGACCTGTCCTTGCAATTACCTACTCGATGTGCTTTGATTTGACTAGATTGAATGATGTGTTGTACATTTTAGGTGATAGTTGCATGGTTTGAGTATCGGTACGTGAGGGATTTTACTACTTTCCTCCTCTAGTGTGAGTAGATAGTGTTTGCTATCTTAGGAAGGCATTGTGTGCGGGATTCTCTCCTTTTATGTGAACTAAGAACTTTTTCAATTTGTATTAGAAAAGAGGTTCTCACGTAAGTGGAAATCGGGCAAAGAATTGAGATCAACCGTCAAAGGATTTTTCTCTTGGCTCAGAGTGCCCGTCGAGGATGTGTTTGGGGTTCGGATAGTTTTATTGCGTCCCGATCATCTCTTACTACCCACCATCCCCCAAACACATCTCCACCTCATGGAATCATATGATAAGGGCCAAAGGTACCTTTTAGCTATTCACTGGGACGTGGTGCTCGGGCTAAGACGAATCGGACCATCAATTTCCCCACATGTGACCTTGAAAAGGAAAAGATTATGATTCATATGCTCTTGGTCATGAGGGAGAGATGCTATTATGAAATGAAAGAAATTGAAAGAGTTTGGTGCAATGTGCATGAACAGAGAAAAAGGAGACCGAAAAATGACAACCCCTGGAGCACATTTTGAATGATCAGCCTAAGGTAGTAGATATGGTCCTCATACGAGAGTTTGTACTTGGACAATAGGAAGTTAGTAGCGTTCATTCATCCCCGCATACTCTTATCTATGCAATGAGGAACTAGCATGCATGTCTCAATGATTCGTCTATCATATTGCATTAGGTTTGAGTAGGTTTGCTTGAGGACAAGCAAACGCCTAAGTGTGGGGGAGTTTGATAACACCAAAAATCGGTGTTATTTACCCTCCATCTTAGGGTATGTTTGGTGCCAATTCATGTGCTTAAGCATTTAAACATTGACAATACATCTCTATTTTGTTTATTTGATTTTGATGTCATTATAGGGTGTATTGGTCAATATGTACAAATTAGGTATAAAACAAGGTCACAAGTGTAGAAAAGGGGCAAGGATCAAAGATCATGGCCTAGAAGCCAAATATCATGGAGTGATGAAGTTGATTGTTCACCCATTTCTTTGCCATTCCATTAAAAGTAAATGGGAATAACCTTAGACGACTTTCCTCTTGAGGAACCCCATTTACTTTGATTACATCCGTTAACTCATAAAATGACTTGATATATGCATGGGTATCTTCACTCATCATACCGTTGAATTAAACCGCACTTTGAAGCATAGAAATTGTGCTCGGCTTTATCTTATAGTTGTTGTTTGGCACCAATGGGTGAAGAATAGGTGATTGAACATTGTCCACACTTGGCCTTGAGTAAGATCCCATTTTCTAGGCCTTGGTGGCACTTGAGCTTGATGTTCCACCATTGGTGGAGGTAGATGTCTAGCAACACTTTTAGATTCCGGAGGGTTCTCTCGATTTTTGTATCAAGAGGGAATATCTCTAAAGAATCCCTTCTTCGCATACAAAGGTGCTACAAGACTAGGGGTGGGAAACGGGACGGGATTGGGTACCCGTCCCGTTTGAAACGGGTACCCGGTCCCATTTGGAGAGAAAACTATATCCCATATCCCAACCCGTACAGGTTAACGGTTACCCGTCCCCCGGGACGGATAACGGGTACCCGCGGGTACCCATATAATACAAAAAATGACAAAAATACAATTGGTTTTCAAAAATCTAAACATACTAAATCGAACAAATTAACATGACAACCAATATAACCATACCAAGATAACTATAATCATTCTTTATGTTTACGTCTTCTGTATGTTGATTAATTAGGACAGATGGGTTTATGTCTTAGGTTTATGTCTTCTGTATGTTGATTAAAACTGGTGCATTACTCCTTTCTCAAGCGTGCGAAGTATCAATTTTTGAGTTCCAAAAGTAAAAACAGAACAGTGACAATATTCATGGCTCTGGTAAAGGTTGTGGTTAGTGTAGTTAAGTTCTTGTGATTCAAAAAAAGCCTCGTGAGAGCAGCTTCTAGCTCAGGTTCCTTTTAATAATGGAACTGTTCGAATTCAAAGGGACAAAAGGTGCAGAAACCACAACTAGGGCCGTTAAAATGGCTCAATTTTTTTGCCTAAAATATATCTAGCTTAATTATAGTTGAATTTAGATACGGGTGTGATGGTTTTGGGGCTTGTGTTTTTGGCTAATGGGTATTACGGGTACCCGTATTACCCAAACGGGTATCCCGCGGGTACCCAATGTAGAAATTATTGATCCCAAGTCCCATCCCGTAAAAAAATTACGGGTATTTGGGTACCCGTAACCCTCAAAAAACGGGACGGAGACGGGTATACCCAAATACCCGTTTCCCGTTGTCCACCCCTATACAAGACACAAACTCAACAACCCATGACTTACAAAGTTGGATAGACAAAACACTAAACACAAACGAAACAGACTTCGAAAATAGCAACAAACAACACAAAACACAAACAACACAAAACGAAACATGAAAATAAAGGCTAGACTAACGAGTCAATAGTTTTCTACTAGTTACCAAGGTTCCCTGGCAACAGTGCTAAAAAGCTTGATCACATTAATTCGTACAGATTATTATTAGTGGTTAGCACGTGTCAACTACTACCCCGTCCTAGGCCAAGTTTGACCTAAAATGGAGTTGTCGTATAGTGGAAATCAAGGTCGTATTCTACTCGGGTCCTGGTACCCTAGCCTACTTCCCACCTTGTTGTTATCTAGCCGATCGGTTTGAAGGTTGTGTTGGAGAACTTGAGCAAACTAACTAGTTAAGAGATTGAATAAGGATAAACCATGTGCTTTACGGAGCTATCCATCACCCTAGCTTAGGACTACTATGCAATGACTAGATACTTAAGGTTTCTCAAATGTGGTGAGTGAGCTCTTTTCCGTGGGCTTTTGTGGTTATCCACACGCCTCCCCTAAACTCGTGTAAGTCACCATGATCTAGGATATCATATTTGGTGCATTAACCTTGTAGCTCCTTTCAATGGGTACTATCCACCGTCCACACCGAGGTTTCATCCCAGGTTCTATCTAGGAAGGCTTACATATAGAAGAGGTTAGGTCGCCTAGACTACCATAGGTCCCTATTCATACATCTAACCTCAATTTTCTTGATGGCGCATACCCGTCAACCATAAAACTCCATACCCAGCGTAGAAGCATAAAGTAGGCTAGTAAAGGATATTAGGGGAACTTACCCGAACACAACTAATACATAACCCAATGAACCTGAAACCTGATTAAGCGTAACTCAATTAACCCAGCCCAAGCCCGCCTGATAGACACTTGTAGACGCAGGGGTCTTAACTCGGTATTTTTCAATTTCATATGAGCCATATATAATAGAACATGTTTTAATTTATGTGGACCCATCTTCTTAATTTTTAATGGGTTAATAGCATTGTGTACCACTTTACTATGGTAAGTTAACAAATGTACCCTTATATTAAATTTTTTCACAAAAATATCCTTCTAATATTAAAACGTAACAAGTTTACCCTTCCATCCCATTATTTGTTAAGTGACTGTTAAATGGGTTGTAAAATGACCCAATT